TGAAAAAGAGAGTAAGTGACAATTGCCATTGATACTGATTTTGAACAGGACATGTGAATGTGCACTGCACCATCACAGGGCACACACAGAGCCCTCACCCCAAACACAAGTACAAGCCTGACATGAAAGTTCCTGTCTGTCCTTCCCCATTTGTATCACATGGAAAGGCACATTCACTTAGAAGCCTCTTTCAGGTTTTAAAGCTCAGGGACATGGAACAAACCACCATTAGATTCTGATTACCTCATTTCAGTAGCACGTGCCAGCATTCCCCAAAACTGCAATAAATTGTGGCGATAAAACCCACAATTTCACCCAGACTAACTCATTCCTCACTCCTGAAGGCAACTGGGACTGCAACCCACATATTCACTGCACAGCTCAAGATGAGACCAAGTGACAATAAAGAACAAAAATATCTCAGCACCAAGAATTTACATAACTAGCTCCAGTTACTGCTAATTGGACCAATTCCCTTAATTTCTCCATTACATCTTCCTGCCTTTTTTAGTTAGCTCTAGTAAGATGTAAAATAAATTATTATTAAACAGAAACCTACTTGATCACATTGCAAGTATTTAAAAGTACAGAACAGTACTTTTGCACTATTGTTTTATTCTAATTAAACTATTTTATTCTAATTAAAGCTTCACAATTAGTAGTCTGGCACACTAAATAAGGTACATGAAGCTACTTTACTGGGCCAGATCTGTCCTCCAATTTTGGAGCTACTGAAATATTTAACACTTTCCCACCCCTCAGTTTTGCCATGAAAGAAAACCTACACACGCCAGATAATGTGAATTACAAAGAAAAATTGCTGGATTAATCTTACAGATTTGACACCAACTTCATTTTTTCCTTCTATTTTCATCTATAGCAAGGATTTACCTTTTTTTTAACTAGAGAATATATTTTAATAGAGAAATTGTATCAAGTTCTCCCTACATCATGTCATRCACTATRTCAACAGCACAACTCTGCCAGGCAGGCTTCCCTCTCAGCCACTGGGACCAAGCCAGCTCCACTTTGGGCTAAACCTCTCACAGCAAGTTGTTGCAAGTGTGTTGTACACAGTCAGTCACTTGAGGAGAGAGCAGCTGAGCAGCTTCCACCACCACGAGAGCCCCTTTTCAAACAGAAAGCGGCTCTGTGCATGTAGGGCTTGATTTGCCATGTGCAGAAACCCTTCACAACACTTGAGCAGGCAGCTGCCAAAAAGCAAATGCCAACTGGCAGCACGGAGGAGCTCGCTCTGAAGGCATCCCACGTGCATGGGCTCTCCAGCAAAACTCCTGCAGCCTCTCCTGAAGAGGCTGGAATACCAGAGGCTTTCCCCTTGTGTAAGAAAGGGACGTTCCCATATGCAGGGGCAGAGGGAGGGTGTCTGGGAAAAGCACAAAGCAAAGTAGGTGTAAGAGACAGTACAGAAGTCCCTCATCTGTCTCACAATCTTTGAGATGGACAGAGACTGAACACCCAAAAACCCCAAAGGGGGGAATGGGAACTTTTGCTCAGAGAAGTCCAGGCCAGATGGAGRTGGGATATCTGCCAAGTGCAGGTGCTCAGGCTGCTGAACAAGGTATAAGCTACAGATGACTGCACTGTTCTTGCTGTGACAGCGAAGAAGAACTGCATGGTCTGTGCTGTACACCTTACAAAACAATGGGCATTCTTTCCCCACATCTTGGCTGGTTTTCCCCACTTTGGGACCTCTTGGCTAGGTGCCAAGAAAAGACTATACTATATACTGTATGGTTTTGAAAAGACCATAAAGAGACTCTCTGAGAAGACCCTTATGAGTACAAGTACTCCCCACAGACTTAGACAAATCCATGGGATCCAGTCCTCGAGGATTTCGTCTGAGCCGTTGGTAGCTATAACCCCACACTCTCTCTCTCACTCTCTTTTTCTCCTTCTCACCCTCTTCTATCGCATAAATCGTGTTGTTGGCACTCAGTAAAAATGCTCTGATTTGGAATAAACACTTGTCCCTGTTCCTTTTGAACTCTGAGATTCGGTTAACAAACCACCACGACTCCTGCTTGTACTGAGCGGATGGCGCCAGGAGGGGAGGAAGGAGCGGTACCTGCGGATGGCACACACGGCCGAGCCGGGCGCTGCCGMGGGCCAGGACGTGCTCCAGGAGCCCCGCGGAGCCGAGCGCTGCTTCCCGTTCTCCCGGGCACACGGAGAGCCCATGGGCAGCCGGCCGGGCCTTGGTGGGATGGGCCCATTGCTCCTGGTCACACGTGCAGAGGAAAGGGAGAAAAAGAAGGGAAAGGGGAAAGAAAAAAGTTTATTTTTTGCACTTCTAATCATCAAAAGCCTGGACATCATGAAATCGGCACGACACGGTATGAAACTACAACATTTAATCCAAAGCACAAAGCCTTTGTGTGCTGGGAGGACAGTATTTAATAGTTCCTAACCAGATCTAGAGGTTCTAGATCAACAGCAACAGAAGATGAGCACTCCTGTATCAAGCTRTTCCCTGGACCTCTGTGAAGATGGGAAGCACTGTGGTGCCATTCCTAATYTTTTGCTCCAGAAAACAAACGATGCTCCACTTCTTTGAAACAGAAAACAAATCTGTACAGGTTGGAAGAAGGAGCAGATAAGTCTCAGCAGCACGCAGAAGGCTGTTTGTTTTCTGCTGCCCCTTAAAGTCAAATGCAGGCATAAAATCTTGAGCATCACAAACAGATAAATGCACAATACGTGCAACCAGAGCAGATACRAAAATGCAGCACATCTGGGCTAGAGAGCTTCATTCCTACAAGMTAAATAGTGCCACATCTGGGCAGCTGGCCGCCACTAAAGCAAAAAAATAGCGTGAAGAGGCCCCTGGAATGTGGGCCTGTGGGAAGGGGGAGACTGAAGGAGGAAGAAGGAAGGCACAGATTTTCCTCCAGTTAATTAACAGTTGTGTTCCCTTTAGCCAGGCAGCTCCTGAAACAGCCTGTCAGGCTGTAAATGCAAGTGTTAATAAGCATGCTGGCTGTCAGTCCCCAGAAATCTCCTTGGCTTCTTGCCCATCAGTCACACCATTAAGAACCACTTATCCAGTGAAAAGAGGAGGAATCCCATGCTGATCCATTCTACCTGCCCAYTGCTGCCAGAGGGCACATCTGAAACGGGGTCTATCCCCATTAGGGCCTGGAGAAAGGGTCACAGAGGGAGCAAAGCCAGGATGCTCCTGAGAGACCCCCTTCTCCTTGCAGTTGATGCTCTCGCCTTGTGCCAGCTCTGCTCATTTCATTCCCTGCAGAAACACAAATTCTGTGTCCTTTTTATAACCCAAACACAGAGCTTGTGCAGGGTGGGGTGTGACAGGCTCCAGAGTCGGTGGGACAGCACCAGTGCAAACACAAGAAATTATATGAGGAGCAAAACCTCCCGTTCTCAGCAGCAGTGAGTTCTTGCACTCACTCACAGATCTGCACCAGGGATGTTTTGGGAGAGAAACTGATAAAAACCAGCTTCTAATAAAACAAGATTTCTGACTTTGAATGGAGATGGAAAATAGCAYAGTTATTTGTGACACTAAGTGGGTGCGGAGTACAAACTTCAAAGTATTTAATTTTTCTCCAGTGACTGCTGAGAGCTGCTCATTATTCCAACCAGAATTGGATGGGTATTTTCCCTCTTGTTCCATCCTGCAAGGACAGAAAAGTATCAAACCTGGTTTTACTACTAAACATCACACTGTATTTCTAAATCCATGGCATTGTGACTGCATAATCAAGCAGACATTGTGAATGGAACGAGTAAAGCCAAAGAAATTTTAAGATGTTGATGTTTCAGTCAGAACTCCCATACTAAAAATAAATGTCTTGCCAGAGTGAACTGAGCATTTTAGTGATCAGTTCTTCACATCTGGTCTATTTACCCAACAAAAGTTATCAGGCAGCAAGAGAGTAATAAAAAGATTTTAAAAACAAACAAAACAAACCACAAAAACAAAACCACAGAATGAAACCATGGGGCCCTCTGAAGCTGTCAAATGTGAACCATCTAATTCAGCAGGGAAGTGCATCTCCCCCAGTCCTGTATAATAAATAATATATATTTTAGACTCGYAGGTGAAAACACTTGAAAAGCACCATGAGCATAACAAGTTACTTACAATTTCAGTCCATTGTAGGAGAGAGAAAAGAAGTCATAGACCAAGCACACACCAAACACAGTGACTCCAGTTTCTTTCACCAGCATTGCACACGTCCCAAGGAATAAACTAAGCAGCAAGAAGAATGGGGAGGCAGTGGGAGGGAAATGTTCCCCAACATAACACTGATCCACGCTCCTGAAAAACAGAATTGGCATAAAATAYCTTAACTTCTCTGTTATTTTCATGTTTACTACAGTCAAACAGATACTTCGACTTTTCCTTAATGCCTTAAGGTGGCTGACATGAACATGTTAAGACATGAACAATCTCAAATGGGAAAGGCTTAGACAAAGGACAGGAAGGGAAAAGGCAAATGTGGGGAGCTGCTCGAATTCTTGGTGCACAAGAGGGGAAAAAAAAGACAAGCAGAAAAATAAAGTGGACTTGAAACAGTCAGAACAAGGCAGAGTAAGTACAGAGAGGGCAGAAAAACACTTGCTTTCGGTCATGTGAACACACATGCTTGATTCTCCTTCTCGTCAAAAAGCACTGGGCAAGCAAAAATTCCTCCATCCCACCCACATTCCCCTGAGTCAGAGGTGTGTCCTAATCATTAACAGACTGGACAGCAAGCCTGAACCACAGGGGAGAAGGTAGGAAAGAACCAAAATCAAACAGGCAGATCCCTGCAGGGTCACTACCAGCTTTACACCTTTGAAACCTGAACAGCCTTGTGGGTTTGGAGCAAACATCCAGTTTTCCCCTGTGGCTGTGATGACAAGCTGCTATTTCTGAATGCAAACAAAGTTATTTCTAACTGGAAATAATGCAAAAGGTGCAGAAACCCCATCCAAGTCAGCTATTTCTGTACCTATCTATACTTGTTCAGTTACAGTTTTAGAAGCAGTGCCAAGTTTTCCTGTGAAAAGGATGACTAATGGTCTAGACAMACTCCTTAACACTCCTTAACACTCCCAGACCAGGTGCTCCAGAGTCCCACAGAATGCATCTGAAAGGCAGGCATGTGTCTGTCTGTTCTTCACTCCATATACAGGCAGTTTGCCTTCTTTTTTTTTTTTTTGTTTTACAATTAAAATTTGTTTTAGACATTTATTAACTAGACATTGTGCACATTGGAGAAGGTAGGGAACACAAATCATTATATAGAATGTTATTTCTAGAGTATATATTTTCAGTTTAAGTAAATGGTAATTTGTTAGTTATTAAATAAGCTGTCAGTTATTAAATAAACATTAAATAAGCTGGCAAGTTTGTTTTGTTTGTCTTCTGTAATTTAATCATTTTGTTTTGTAAGGTTTTAATGTTTGTATGAATGGATGAACATTTTGAAACATCTCACGATGTTATCACGTACCTATTATAGGAGAGAAAAGCCAACAGAAAGAGTAGACAGGCGAGGACATCTGCTCTGCCTACTATACCTGTTACCTGCAAGGAAAAGRGACACACAGGTGTAAAAACACATCCAGAAAAAGCCACAAACACTCAGTGACTGCTTTAACAATTCCTGCTCCCTGCTATTATTTTAAGCTTTTGATCTTTCAGAGTTATTGCAAAATTTTGCTTGGATAGGGTAGGATATGCTCACTTTTGTCTGCTGCATTTCTTGCTTGGCAAAATAAATGAGTAAGCCAAGGGTAAAGTCATTCTTTACTTACTAAAATATTAACAAAGTTACATAGAAAATGTCAATTTTTGGGATCTGTTTTAATTTTGTATAATAAGACTTAGATGAGAAATGCAGCCAACTCCCTGAACTGAAATTTGTTCAAGAAAAGGACCTATTATATAAGTAATATTTGAATGAACTTTATCACCAAAAAGGGATAGTGTTACAGAATTTATTCTTTCTGAACAATCTGAGAGGTTTTTGTTAGAGTTTTTTCCACATATTAATTAACAAAATCTTTTTATAAAAAAGGGAATACTGAAGAAGAATGGGTAAACTCTTTTTCCTAGTTATTTTAATATCCTATTTCATAAAGATCTAAAAATCACCCATAAAGCAAATTAAAGGCCCTTTGAAATTTCGCCCCTTTGAGATTACATAATTAAGTTATATTCAGAGCTCTGGCATTTATTTCAACATTTTTAAGTTCTGACCCAGACAAAAATAAAATCCAAGAGTGCCTCTTCTAAAACCTCCCTTAAAATATAAAGCTGCATTATCAAAAGGAGCCTAGCTGATTAGCTCACACAACACAGCACAGGAAGTAACTGCAGAGCTTTTGGTTTTTGTTATTRAGGTAATCTCTCCTCCAAAGTTTTCAGCCACAGGAGCTGTTTCCCTCCCTCATTTACAAAGGTTTGGAATGAGAGCAGCATGATGTCAGTGGTATCTGAGCTAACGAGTGCATTTCCTTTTTCAGGTGTGAAAAGCTGGACATTGCCTTTCCTTCTCCAAGACAGCGAGACTCCTTTTAGCTACAGAAATGTCTCCTGGTGTTAACAGACTGCACTTTTGGGATGGCTGTGTCTTTAAATGTTTCCTTCTAACGAACTGAAAGATGTCCAAAATGAGCTGTTGTTCTGCAAACTTACACTGATGTTCAGTTACAACTTTTTTTTTTCTTTGTAAGATGATTCTCTTAGCTTTTAATTGGAATAAATATAAATTAATCCATGGGCCACATCATCTATATCTGAGCGAGCTCCTCCAGAACACACACWAATGCTCCCTTCACTTTTTCTCCCTAAAGCTGATGGCTATAGGAGATGACTGAAGGAATGCAACAATATCCCAGCAGGAGAGCACAGCCTCACTGAGGTCCTTTGGTTTCAGAGGACTCATGACTGTCCATTTATTCCCAGCATGGCTGATTAGGACCATCATTTAGAATTCAGTGCCAGAGCACAAAGACCACAAGTATGAATACACTTCTTTCTCAATGACTCCTGCAAACTATTTTAAACAGAGTAGATTCTCACCTTTGCTCCCCCACAGCAAAAAAAAAAAAAAAAAAAAAATCACAAGCACCACATTCTGTATGACTCAGAGGTTTCCTTAAAAAAATTAATATTTTGAAGAATGAATTCCTTTTTAGCTTGGGTGGCACATACTTACAGCCTCGGTGTGAATGGGATGCACAGCAAAGAACAGCGCCGTGACAAAAGCAAGACGACAGTCCTTGAACACAGCTTTGTCACAAGTGTACATCAGCACAAGAGTCACCAGACAGTGTAAAATTACATTCACTGCGTGGAAATAGAAGGGGTTCATACCAGCCAGCAATATGTTTAACCTGTAAAAAAGCAAAACAAAACCATTACTAGATCTGAGAGGTCTTGTAACAGCAAGACATCTTTCAAATACTCTAAATTATGCCTTTTGCCCCATTTGCAGTCATCTAATGTTAGTGCTATTAAACTAATTGCTGAAAATCGCTCTAAACTTSTGGTTTATCTGATTAGAGAGAAACYATTTCCCCAATTTTTWTATTATRTGGTTGTGTTTGGCAACCTTCTCGACAGAGATGGGAGGTTCCTGTGCCCTCCCAGYGCAGTTTTCTGCAGTGAGACCATTCCTGTGCTTCCTTACAGCAAATCACCCTGGCCAATATCGTGGCACTATTCCTATTTCCCCATTAGCACCTTCTGTGGTTCTGTTGGCCACGTGGCAGCTTTACAATATGGGTAGTTATTTTCTGCTATTGAAGAGATGCTTTTGCCCAGGAACAGCCAAGACAAGGACTTGGTAAGGCACTGGAGCATCTGCTTGGCGTAACAGGGACATTTATTCCCATTTAATTTTCAAAATAGTGTCACACACTGAAGGTTAAACCTTTATTTAAATGCTTTACTGGCAAAAAGAAGCTTGCCTAATAGTTTACATCATTTTTGTAAGGACATTGATGGCAAAGATAAGTTAGCTAACACCACCCTAGACTCAGGGAGATAATTAGGGTTCATTATTTGCATCAACCATAAAAAAATAAAATGTAACAAGCTGTTATGACATTTGTTTGACAGCATGTATTAACACATTTTTCTGGTCACTGTTTTTTACAGCCAGCTTGCTTAACAGCTGCTGACAAGCTCTGCCTTACATGCAGTTKAAGATAATTCCCTTTAGTATTAATAACATCTGTACATTTGGACAAATCTATATGTACTCACACAAATACACACACATACRCATGGTGTCTAGCTAGGGAAGGCTTCATATATGAACAAGGACTTTGGAAAAATGCCCTTTAACTAATGTTAAAGGACATTTTTTAAAAACAAATGACAAGACAGCCAGTGAGAAGAAGGCCCAATCTAAACATTTTGCATGCAGTTGTAAATACAGGGTCAATAATCTTTCCTGTTGTTACTAAGAGACTCCAGGTTTCCCATGACATGCACGATGCAACAGCAAGGCCACCGAGCTGTTGCTACTATAAAAAAACACCTCAGGTTTTTTCGYGAGACAGAGGAGGTGTGAAAAGGTCTGTGAGAGCCAGACAACTTTTTTTTTTTTTTTCTTTATAAATAACTCCCTACATTTCTTATTCACAAGCAAGGGAGTGCTAGCTGTCCTGGATTGAATTTTCCAGACCAATCTAACTTTACCAGACCAAGAGTCTTACTCCTGCTGTGCTCCTGCTGGAGCATTTGGGGAGGCAACAGACAAAACCTGGAGTTTGCAAAAAAGCAAGATTTTGGCATGGCTTGACCTTTCCCTTTGAAGTATGGGTTGATGCAGTTACATTTTGACAAGGCATCAGTCTGTGTGATTCAAGAATACAYGAGGAGTTGGGGGGTTTTCTTTTTTTATCCCATTTCTCCTGCAAGCCACTTCAGGGCAGCAGCATCCATCACTTTCCCTTATTTCTACCAGCACTGAATGACAAACCACAACAAATGGCAGCAACAGAGATCCAGCCAGAGCTTCAAATCTGCTGCAGCACTGGAACCCCCAGGCCTGGATCTTGTTTTCAGCGTGCTGAGGGCAGCAAGGGGCAGCACAGGGYCACTAAACCCATGATATCTGACAATATTCTTGAAAAATTCATTATTAGCYTCCATGGATCACATCTGATCACTTCCCATGCTGCAAAACAGGTCTGCTGGCAGGAGAGGCAGAACTTTATAGGCAAGGAATCTTCCTGGCCCCACCAGGTCCCATATCCCAAAGGGGTGGGTGTGCTCTTCACGCCCCTTCTTAGGGTGAACATCAAGTCAATGAGGCTTGTAAGCTGTGAGTTACCTGATGTGAATTATTGAAAACAGCTCTGTAACAGCATCAGCCTCGCAGCTTGGCTGCTCCCCTGGGTGTTCTTTAAATAAATAAAAAAACAGCAGAACAAAACACAAACATAATACCACATGATTCAGGTAACTCTTCCRTTGAACAGCAAAATCAGACTGCAAATATGCCTCAGTGTATGTTTTAAATACCCTCTTTAGTGGCCCATGAACAGTGAACATGAGCGTGTGCAGGTGCTATATTCACACCAGTGCTTTTTGCAGCTAAAGCTCTTTGTCATAAGAAATTAGGCCACATGGCAATGAAGGAAACATTTTTTTCGTCCTGAGACAATCCCAGCAGAACAATCTTGAAACATTAGCAGTGGTTAAATTTATTGTATGTCAAACGGGTGAGCAAATCTGGGTCTTGGAACAGCTCTAATCCAAGTCACAAGAACTTTGCAAAGCTCCCCAGCTCACAGGGGGAAAATGAGGAACTCTGGAGCAACTTCTGGGCAAGGGAGAGGGAGGGGATGGGCAAATAAAAAATTACTTCTCCCCTCTTAATCTTTAATATCCTAACAGAGAGATTCAGTCTTGTTTATTGGCAGCAGCATGAAGCAATTATACACAGTAGATGGCTCAGCAAACAAAGACATAGATCTCAAAAAAGTCTAAGGAGTCTAAGAAGTTGGTCTTTCTCCAATATAATGTTCACAAAGAGGAGTGCTGCAAGCAAAAACTGTACTCCACTGGAAGGG